TTAAGGACGCTTCCCTGCCAGGGACGGCTGCCACTCATCCCAACAGAACCTGACAAGTTTTCTTTACTCCATGGCTATGAGGGCTACCAACTCAGATCACTGGCATCAAACAGATGACTGGGGGAGGGCGGGGCTCAGGGCTATAATCCTAGGACTCTGGGAGGCTGAGGTGAGGTGAGAGGAGATTGAGCTCAGGATTAAGCTCAAGACCAGACTGAGCAAGAGTGAGACCCCTGTCCGTACTAAAAATAGAAAAAACATTTGATTACCCTGTAGTCCCAGCTACTTAGGAGGCTGAGGCAGGAGGACTGCTTGAGCACAGGAGTTTGAGGTTGCTGTGAGCTATGATGACACCATAGCACTCTACTCAGGGTAACAGAGTGAGACTCTGTCTCAGAAAACAAAACAAAACAAACAAAATAAAAAACAAAAAACTGATGACTTCTTTGTGTGTTGCTAAGCAGAACTTTCAGATTTCTCTTTCAACGTGAATGAGGTGGAATTTCTCAGCCCAAGGCCATGAGATCTCACTCTACTTCCATCCCTGGCCGAGCACCTGCTGGGCCTGCTGTCAGCTGACTCTGGTCATACACAGAGCTGGTTCTGTACCAGAAACTACATACTTGCAGCTAACCTTCTGGGAATCCGTTCTGCACTGCGGCCTTTCATTAGAAAGCCGCTTCTCAGCACAGAGGCAGCCCTTGGTAATTCTCTCCAGGATTCTCACATCCATCTGAGAAGAGGAAAGGAGCTGTAGCAACCAGGCTGACTTGACAACCAGTTTAATTTCACACTTGTTATATTTCTGGAGCTGCCTTGTTTTTCCCTTTATCCTGCATAACTGCAGGGAAAATTCAGAGACTTTCTAAAGGTGAGATTCTCGCCCATTAGTAAGAAAGTCTCACTGTATATGAAGTTGGCCTTTCTCTGGAGATGTTCCAAATGCTTTATAAACATTCTTTCATGCTTCAAGTAGGTGAGTGGTTAACTGTTATTCTTTCTGGACAGAGAGGTAGCATTGAGATGCTTGGCCATACAGAACAGAAATGTTTTTTGAATGCCTGAGGGAGAGCAAAAGCAAGGCTTGGAAACTATGAGATAGGACAGAAGTGACCAAAAATAGGAAGAAGGATGGTATACAAAATTCCAAAAAAGGAGAATTCCCCTATAATCAGCTCACTCTCAGCCCTGTCTCAGGAGCTGCCGTCTGGCATTCCTACGGTGTGCCGCTTCCATACGGGCATGGGCCTGGGAAATTAGGCCTGGTGAGTGCTAATTGTGCCTAAAATAAGAAATTTTCTCTCTGTTTGATCCTTTCCAGAATCAATAATCCAGACTCCTTAAAGTGAAAGTTGAAACTAAAGTAACCCACATATACTTAACATTACCATACAGTAAGTTGTTTTTTTGTTTATAGAGACAGTCTAGTCTCACCTTGTTGCCCTCAGTAGAGTGCCAGTGGTGTCACAGCTCACAGCAACCTCCAACTCCTGGGCTTAGGCAATTCTCTTGCCTCAGCCTCCTGAGTAGCTGGGACCACAGGCATCAGCCACAACACCCAGCTATTTTTTGTTGCAGTTTGGCGGGGGCCAGGTTTGAACCCACCACCCTCAGTATATGGGGCTGGCGCCCTACCACTGAGCCAGAAGCACCGCCCACCACACAATAAGTTAACATAAACACTAAAACACTGCCTGTGTGCTGGGTTTTTAATTTACAAAGTCCATTTCATCTTGATGTCGTCCTTGGAGGTGGGCAAGTCCTACCACCCTTGTTTTTGGGTGAGGAATCTGAGGCTATGGTGGCACCCAGAGAGATCAGGGGCCCAGCCTGATCTCGCACTTCTCTTTACTCCACACTTCTCCCTGTGCTGCCTTTCCCCACGTCCAAAAAGGAGTCAAGAAGAGCCTTGGTCCCTTTAAATGTCACCATGGAAACAACATGGGTCAGGAGTTTCAAGTTCTGGATTTGAATCTCAACTCTGTCCCTCATAGTTAAGGACCCAGTAAGTTACTTAACCTGTGTGAGCTCA